TGGAGAGCCGCCTCGTTCTCCTCTAGTTCTGTACGTAGACAACAAGGCCATGCTGGCCTTGTGTCGCGAGCACAGACTGGAGCACAGAACGAAGCACATTGTTCTTCGCTACTTCCTGGCTCGTGAGCTACAGCAGCGTGGTCAGTTGCGCCTTGCGTACGTGGCCTCTAAGGCCAACACTGCTGATATCTTCACCAAGGCACTTGCGCCTTGTATCATCAGCGCTTCTGTACTCAGCTGGGTCTTGTGCCTGCCTTGCCTCACTTGCTCACCCCTTGACCTTGTTTGTACTGTTATATATATTTATATATACACCTGATCTTGCTTGTCTAGCCTTATATATATGTAACCCTGCATGTGAACTGGCCTTGTGGCCTTGAACTTGTGCTCGGAATGTGTGGTGACTTTGTGATCCACCCTGAGCTTGCTTTGCTTTGCTTGACTGGTCTTGTGACCCCTTGTTCTCCCCCACTTTGCCTATAGGGGTGTGTCAGATTTATATGACATAGCAGTTGTAGGCTATAGTGGGGTAGCAGATTTGGGGTACAGCTTTCTAGGGTTTGCACTTGTACCCAACTTTCCTTTAGTAATTCATTTCTTGTTTCTTCTCACTGGGTTCCCCTGGCCAACATCGAAAACCACCCTGCCCTGCAAGTGTAATTGAGGAGCCGTGGTTTCCGCGACATACACGCACTCGCGTAGCGGAGGGGGCTTCTTGAGACGGAGGGGTAGTGTTAGGAATTTTCTCGACATTCCTTAGCACATCCTACAACATCGCGTACAGGAGCAGCCTACGCTTCGCGCTAGGCCGACTTCGCGCGCACTGTTTTACCAAACCATGCACCGCTGGCCCGGCCGTGTCGGCCTACGCTTCGAGACTAGCTCGAGCCTCGATGCCAGCCTCGCACTAGCTAGCTCGTTCGCGCCGCGTTTCCGTTGGCATGTTTCGCGTATAAATGTTCGCTCATATAAACGTTCGCTCATGACTTCGCTCACATTTTGTACTCGTTTGTCACTTAGCTCAATCCTCGCTACCTAGATTCATTGCACCCGTAAGAATACGCTACTACGATGGCGGTGTTCGCCAGCAACTCAGATAACGACGGCATTTTGACGGCATCGGCATGGTGACCGCATCCGGAACCGGGGTCGAAACCCGCCCAAGAGGTCTGGGCGTAATGCGGTCTGCGAAACTTCAATCCCCAAAACAGGAAGTTTTACAATCGCATGTGGAACCCCCAGCCCCACATTCCTCATCTAGTGGCGCGAATTTTACGCGCCACTGACTAGTGCCAGACCGAGGGCCAAAAACGAATAAGGGTAACAAGCGAAAAAAAAAAAAAAAAAAACGAACGATTTCGACCAAGTCATGCGCGGAAGGTGTGTTCGGGAGGGGAAAAATGGGGGGTATTCGAACCCCCCTTTGTCAAACAACAGGCTTGTTCAGAGGTTCCCCTCTAACCGACAATGCGACGGCTGTGCCGTCGCTGTGCTTCGAAAAACGCGGCATGGCGATGGCTTGGCTTGGGGATAGAGCTTTGCCCAAGGAAGAAGTTGTGTCCCGGCTTCCATATGCCATCGAGCAGTTCGTTTTGGTGGACAAATTGGGGCGTTCGCCAGACACCCACTTTGATTGTAGGTTTGGACGGTTGGGGAGGCTCGGCACCTTTTTTACGGGCTGACCAGGCTGACGGAGGTAAACGAACCCTAATTGACGGGATCAGGAAGGCGAGACCCACCTTCCGGATCCCCTTCATTATCCCATGGGTTTTTGCTTCATTGGTGCTGGCGAACAGCACCGATTTGTTGAACGAGCTCTGCACATGAGAAAACATGGTCGTCCGAAAGTTCTGGATCTTAGTACTTCGTCTGACTCAGCAGGTGCTGCTGACCAGCGTTGTGCCACGTATACGCGGATCACGTAGGCTATCAAGCCCCCCTATGCAACAGCATTGAACGCTGTATCTGAATAGCCAATAAGAATGAGCAATTACATGACCACGTAAATGTCGGACCAGTACACGTAGCACGCCAGTATTGGAGGAATTGAGTTTGTCGGCCGCTTGTCACGTGTTTCACCCTGGTTCTGGCACGTTCGCCTTTGCGCTGCGTGGTCCTATAAAATGATCGCGGTTGAGAAAGAAACGCAAACACGTAGAAGGCTGGATGTGCACAGTGAACACTTGTAAAACGCCTGTTGTTCGCGGGTGATGAAAGGTTAATTACAATGTAGTAAATTATATTCTGTTTTAATTTCCAGACGTGATAGAATGTAGCGAAAGGTCAACTATAATCGCGTGCAACGAGCCCCTGTCATTCGCAAGCAACGTCGCACCAATCGAGTTGAAGTACACCTGACGCGACGATCCCAACGTCGCGGATGTTGAGGCCTGGTTCGGGCAGGATTTGCCTTCTGTTCTTTCGATTGTGTACTTTGTTGACTCGTATGCGATGACATTTGCGAACCAGCGAGCGAGTCGCTGGCTGTGCGACGACTACGACATCTGAGAGAACCAGTGCCTCCGATTCAATTGTTCAGATCCACGCAGCCGCTCTGCACAGTGCTCTTGTGGTAGTAGGTTCGGCATCATTGTCTGTAATTGTCCGATTTCTTTTACAGAACTGTCACTCCAGGCACATTTCAGCTGTTTTCAAGGGGTTTCTTGCAGATAATTTGGTGATTGGGACACCCACAATATCTTCATGATCCACACCACAGTTTGATCCCAGTGTACGGGTTCAATTCGCCTGATCTCAACCACTTTGACGGAACAGAATTTCCAGCTAAAAACGGCAACAGGAGATTATTTCACACCGAAGCAAAGGAAGCTATGTAAGTTAAACACCAACGCTTGTTTTTCCAGGGTGATGTAGACATTCTCGTTAGGACTGCGGCTCGCGGTTAGGTCTGGTAACCTGGCATGGCGCAGCCATCCAAACCAAGTCTTGGCTGACATTGCAATGCCATCCTAGCGGGCGACCACCAGTCTCATCACTGTACACTGTTCTGCAGCCCGCCACGTACATACATGCGACGCTGCACCGTTGCGAGCCAGTCACGCGAACACATATGGCGCCCGTCCCAGATGCGTTTTGGCTGCCTTCCCGAGCTGAAATACTGTAACCCTGGCCTGGAAGGGCAGCCCCTCAGACCCGAGCGAGGGCAGACACAGCTAGCTGCGGCGCTAGACGATCACCGTACGACACTGGTTGACGAGTGACACAGGCTCGGAATGATCAAGCCTGGTTTGTTCAGGTCGGGAAAAGCAGAGTCTTTCTGCTTGCGCCCGTCGTCGCCGCCGCCAATTGAGACAGCAATTTGGAATTCGTTAGAGTCGTACCGCGTCGCACCACTTCGCATCATGACGGCACAGAGGTTTGTGCGTGGCACGCAGGGAATTCCGCACTCTCTCCGTCACCTCCCTCCGTGCCCTCCTCCCCTCACCTCCCCTTCCCCCCCTGTCCAGCGGCTTCACAGTCAGGGGGAAGGGCAAGGTCACTGAATTACAGCCCTCCCTTTCCTTCCCACACAGTTCCTCCCATTCCCTTCCTCCCCGCTCCCCCCTCACCGCCGCCAGTCAAGCTTCTCTCCCTGCGCCAGCAAGGGACACCAGATTCTGGTTCTGTTTCCTACCAGCCCAGCTTTCCAACTTCCAAGCGAACACCAGTGCCCACCATGCTACCACCCCATCCTGTTTCTTGCACAAGACCGAAACCCTGGTCGATGCCCCAATTTCGCCGCCGCTTAGTTGCTGCCTTCCGCAACCTCCTCCGCCTCTCCCTCTCGATTCCACAGTCCGCTGCTTACAATCCCCATCCCCAGTCGTGCTGTCAGTTTCGTAGATTCACATGTCTTTCTCCTACCAGTCTTCTAGAAGACTCTTCGCAGCTCTTCTTTTCTTGTCAGAACTTCAATACTTGTCCATTTGGTTCTGCCACCACTCTTTGATTCAACCTTTCAGCTTCTTTTTGAAAGCATATACCTACACTGTAGGTTATCCGATTTCTCACCCGAGGTTGCGTCCTCACCAGCTTCTTGCGCGTTTCACCTGCTTCACTCAGTGCACCTACGGCTCTCTGTCTCGGCTCAATCTAAGTCACCTTAGGCTGCAACGCGACTCGCGCTGGACCTTACGGCTCGGACCCTGGTTTGTTGTTTCCGTTGTTTTGAATCTTGGCACTCCTAATCTCCGTTTCTTTGCAATCAAGCCATGAGAACAGGCTCTGAAAGTGTCGAAGCAGACCAGTCCCCGTCTTCCGTGCACTCCAGCGTCCTAGCGCCCGACGAGCAGGCGCTCCGTCTCAGTCCTCCCAGCTCCTTGACCAACAGCTCCTCCTCCTCCTCCGCCCTCACCACACCCTTTTCTTCCCCGCCCATGCCTGCTAAGGACTCTCCGAGTCCGCATATGGTAGTTAATGTTCTCGGTCCGTCAGGCGCTGACCCGCTTAAATCCTTGTCTCTTGCTAACTACTCCCAGAATGTTCTCTCTTTCCACCATATCGCGTACACGGTTCGCCGCCGTGGGTCCAGCTCATTTTCGTGCCGCTCCCGCGCCGGCGTGGAGTCAGACTCGTTTAAGTCCTCGTCTTCACCTTCCGCCTCCGCCGCTTCCAGGGAGCGCCTCGACGCTGCCGAGAACGAAAAGTCGACTCAGGCTTATCGCTGCATTCTTAACGACATTTCGGGCTACGCACGGTCCAGCGAGGTGACCGCAATCGTCGGCCCGTCGGGCTCGGGAAAGACGACGCTGCTCGACGTTCTTGCGCACCGCATCGCCGCCGCTGCCGCCACCGCCGCCCCCAGCGGTGCGCAGCAGACCAGGCAGGCGATTCCTAGCTCCGCCGCCGCCGCCGCTGGATGCGGGCGGACAGGGCACATCGAGCTTGACGGCGTGCCGATGACGAGTAATATGATGCGGCGCGTGTCGGCGTACGTGATGCAGGACGATCTGATGCATCCGACGCTGACGGCGCGCGAAACGCTGATGTTCTCTGCGGAAATGAACTTGCCGAGTAGGCTGTTCTCGCGGCGGGAGAAAGAGGCGCGCGTGGAGCGACTTCTCGAGATCCTCGGGCTGTCGCACGTCGCCAACACCATCATCGGCGACGAAAACAGAAGGTACTATGCGACGCGTTGCGAGTCGATGGAGTGTGGTGCAATCTAGTTAGTGCGCATCCGGTGTGGTTAGACGGGACAGGATATTCTGGGTTGCAAGGGCGGGATTGCCGACGTGTTTTTGGCGAATGTCGCTAGTTTGTGTGTGCGTCACCTTTATTGTCGCCGGTCGTTCGATAGAGAGCGGAGGGAGGTGCCCTAAATTCTTTGCTTATGACACGTCATTACATGCGATTCGACAGCAACTGTCTTCTGCAGTCGTTTGGGATTGGGCCGTCGCCAGCAAGAGGCGGCATAAGAATCTGCACGAGTGGGGAAACTGTGTCCATGCGGTAGACCTTGACCGCTCTTAGACTCTGTTAACTTGGCATGCGGACGACCGCTATCCTTTCGTCCCCTCCGTGCACGTGCACCTTTCTCAAGGTTCCCCCCTCCCCCTCCCGCTTTCCCATCCTCCCCGCTCTCGACTCTTTCCTCTCTTTGTCTCTCCCCCCCTCAAACGTCCGTCTCATGCCTTAGGCTTTTCTTGTCCCCCATTTTCCCCGCGTCCTTCCCCCGCCCTCCCCCCCGTTGTCCTTCCCAATTCCAGAGGCGTGTCCGGCGGCGAGCGGAAGCGCGTGGCGATCGGCGCGCACATCGTGCACGACCCCAAGATCCTCTTTCTGGACGAGCCCACGTCGGGTCTCGACTCCACGAACGCGTGCCGCGTCGTCAACATCCTGCACGATATCGCCGTGCAGTCGCACAGCATCGTTGTCATGGTGCTGCACCAGCCGTCGTTTCGTATCCTCGAGCTCGTCGACCGCATCATGCTGCTCTCCGCGGGCAACGCCGTCTTCTTCGGGGCGCCGCGGCGCATGCCCGCGTTCTTCGCCGAGTTCGGACGGCCCGTGCCGCAATTCGCGAATCCGACGGAGTACGCGCTCGAGCTGCTCGACAGGCTCCGCGCGACGCCCACGGGATTGGAGGAGTTACACGCGTTCGCGCAGGAGTGGCTTCGCGGCAAGTGTCTTACTATCGCAGAGGCTGCTAACGGGGATGTCGCTTCTGACGGCGCGGAACGCGCGTGCGACGGCTCGAAGAATGACGGAGCTTGCGAAAGCGGCGACACTCGCGAGAGCAGCGGGAGTAACGACAGCAGCTCCCCGCTGCTTCCAGCTGCCACAGCAGACACGGCGACGAGCCGCCTGGTGCCGCCGCGTTCCCCGCCAGCGGCAATCCCGGAGGAAGGTTTGGTGGTTGATAGCGACGCCGGTGGCGTTACTGACGGATCAGCTGCTGATGCTGATCCGTCAACGTCGTCGGCGAAGGTCGTTTCCGCGCCGCCGTCCCGCTGGACGTCGGGTTTCCGGAAAGAGAGTAGGTACAGGCAGGAGGAGCAATTAAAGAAGAAGCAACAGCAGTGCGTGGTAGAGAGCAATTATAAGGGCACGAGGCGGTACGCGAATAGCTGGCCCCGCGAGCTGTGGATCTTGCTCCGCCGCGCGGCGCTGATTATCACGCGCAACCCCGCGCTGTACGGCTTGCGCCTGGGGCTGCTCACTGTCGCGGGTCTTCTGCTCTCGTCGCTCTTCTGGCAACCGCCGCACACGTAAGCGAAAAATATGGCGAAACGAGGCGAAGGGGTGTTTCTGATTTGGCTGTGTGAACTTTTGTCGATTGTTTGCCGCGTTTTGTAATTGTGCCGTGTTTTGCGACAACGGTGTTGTCGCCCAATTTTCGCGATTTCCAATTCCACGTAGAACATTCCACGATTTCCTCTCACTTTTCATGCATCATTAGATGTAAACATAAATACTAAATAACGCAATCGAACTGATTGGCTTTCAATTCCCGTCCCTCCCCTTCCCTTACCCCCTCCGCGCTTCCATCCGTTATATCAGGCCCAAGGGCCTGTGGGAGCGGCTGGCATACCTGTCTTTTATTGTGGCTGTGCTGTTCTTCTGCTCCGCCGATGCCACCCCCATTTTCATAGAGGTGCGTGAGTCCATGGCGTTGTATTTGTGTACATCATAAAAATGTTATCTTCTTCATAGCCCATCCATCATCCATGCTGTATTATGTGCCTTCTCACCGACCTACTTGTGACTCATCTTGATGAGTGGCATACTGGTTGTATAGGACAGGATCATCACTACGCGCACGCTCCCCTAGTTCCTATTTCCCCCCTCCCCATCCGCGAAACCTCCCGTGCTTTCGGGTGGTTAATCCCCCTCTTCCCCCCATCTTGTATCTCATCCCCCCTCCACTCCCCCTCTCTCCTCAACTCCCCCTCTCCCCACTCTTTTCCCCCTTTGGACTTGTTGCCCACAGGACCGGCACATATTCATCCGGGAGACGTCGCACAACACGTACCGCACGTCGACGTACGTGGTGGCGCACGCGCTCGTGTACATGCCGCTGCAGATCCTCATGGCGCTCGTCATCACGCTCGAGTCCTGGTGGTGTGTCGGGCTGTCGGGCGGCGCCAGCGGCTTCTTCTTCATGGCGCTGCTCTGCTTCGGATGCCTCTTCGCTGGCAACGCCATCGCCACCTTCTGCAGCGCCTTCTTCAGCAGGTCAGTGATCGTTGCCTTTGAGAGCTCTCAGCAGTGGCGCCAGCAAGGAATGTCACTACCACCTTCAGCTAGACTCCTTACTCATCTACACCCTCCTCTCTCCCCCTTCCCCTTCCCCTTTCCCTCTCCCCCCCATCCCAGCCATCCCACAGCATCATCCTGGCAACATGCAGCGCTGGTCAGCTGCGTGTTGTACTTCCCCATCATCAGTGGCGTCTGTGACGTCTCAAAAGCTCTCTCTCCTTCCCCTTCTCTCCCCACCCTTTCCCCCCCCCCCCCCACAGCATCATCCTGGCGTATGCAGTGGTGATCAGCTGCATGGCGTACTTCACCATCATCAGCGGCTTCTACATCCCGCGCACCGCCATCCCGCCCTTCTGGATCTGGCTGCACTACCTCTCGCCCATCAAATACGCCTACGAGGCCATGGTCCTCAACGAGTTCGACAGGTATGCTATGTTTGCGGATATATAGACGGCTACTCTGCTAGAGTGTCTTTTTTTTTTTCCCGCCCCCCTCGCCCCCCTCTCCCCATCCCCCTCTCTCATCCCTGTCTCCCTTCCCTCCTCTTCCCTTCTCTTCCACCCCACTTTCCTCTCGCTACTTCCTTCACCCTTTTATTTTTTAGTGACGTGTACGCGCGTACCCTTGTGTCCCGTCCTTCCACACGTAACCTTACTTCCTTCTCCTCCCCCCCCGCTTCTCTCCCCTTCCCTGCCCCACCCACCCATCCGTCACGCCTGCTGCCCCACGCTCCCAGGGAGGACACGGCATGCTACTTCCGCCTGAACCAGATGGAGAACGTGGCAGCGATCCGCTCCTATGTCAACGTGACACGCGCTGAGGCCGCTCTGGACGTGTTCCTGCCAGGCATCCTCATGCCAGGCGTGCGCATTACAGAGGACAGCTGCCTGCTGTACGGCCAGCGCATCTACAGCGATCTGCTCGACATCTCGCAGCTCACCAAGTGGCAGTGCCTTGCCGTGTTGTTCAGCATGGCGCTCGCTGTGCGGTTCGCGTATTTCTGCGTGCTCGTGGGGATCTACAAGTCCAAGAGGAAGTAGAGGGGAGGGAGGGGGTGGGGGTGGAGGGAGGGAGAGTTGCCAGAGAGAGGGTGGAGAAGAGGGAGAGGGGAGTGTTTTGGCAAGCGTGCCTTGGCTCGGAAGGCGTTTCTTGGGGTGGGTGCATTTGGAGTGGCGTGTTGTTCTTTGCGTCGATCGATTAGTTGTTCAGGAGGGTTTCAGAAGTCTGAGCTTCAGTTGTGGGAAGGAGAGATGTAGTGAAATGACAGGCTGAGCAGCAGGGCATGACTTGGCGTCTTTAACACAGGGCTGAAGAGCAGGAGCGGGGGAGGTACTGAGTAGCAACAACCTTGGCGGGGCAGGAGGCGTGAATATTCGTGGATGGAGTAGAAACTTGGAAGGTTGCTCTTCTGGGGCACGGGAAGCAGGCGGACGTAGACAGAAGCTTAAGCAGGGGGGGCAGGCATGCATGGTTGATGTATTCTGCAGCTGAGGCTGCGTCACTGACGATTCAGAATTCAGATCCTCTTAGTCGGATTACAATCCTCCTCCTTCCTCCCGCCCCCTCCCTCCCGCTTCCTGCGTACTCGCTCCTCCTTCATCTTCCCTCCCTCCTCCTTCCCCTTCCCTCTTCCCTCCCTCCCACTCCTTCCCTTCACCTTCACCTTCATTCCTTGCCATTCCGTGTGCTCCTCCTCCCCCCATCCACCCTGAACCGTGTACTATGCATCTCTACCTTATGCTGTCCACTGTGCACCCACCGTGTACAGGGTATTGTGTCCAATCAGGGTATGGGCTGAACAATACACCCCAACTAGCTTATTGTCGCTGTCTACAGTGATTTCTAGAAGGGATTAGTTGAGGTTGCCTGTGTGGCTATGGTTGATAATTATACACTGCCTGTCAATTTTATCTATTGACTCTATATTGTCTACACTTCTTCCCAGACTGATTCTGATCTGCCCCCGACTCCCTGATGCTGTGCTCATGCGGGACAGACCCTTATAAGTAAATTTTGAAGTAAAATTCCCTATCGATGCCATGAGCTGAGTGTCTATTGCAGCTTATAGTAACTTCTCCAATAGTGTCAGTTCTTAGATAGGTGCAATTTAGTTTATGTGGATCTGCTTTAGTACTGCTCCGGTGACTCACTACTACTAAAAGAAAACGTGTTTTGGATAGTCAAGTGTAAACTGTCTCTCTTCTATGGGCTATGTTTCCTCTATTTCCACCATGGTATTGTTCTTTGAAATTTTGTAGTTCGAAAAATAATGTTCCAAGGAGCATCATTTTAGCAAAACATGTTCCCGAAGCATCAACACATGTGGTTTTCTATTGCCACGTGCCAAAAGCGAAACGGAGTCGGGCCGAACAGGAGTCAGCACGAATACACCTGACGAACACGGCACGGCGAAGTTGAAGAGCACATCATAGGCATAGCAACCAACCAATAACGGAGCAATGCTACAGCACAGCACAGCACAGCGAGGGTGAAAGAAGAGACTCTGCTGACAAGACCCCTTTGCTGACAAGAGGTGCTTGCACTCAGGGATTAGCTGTGTGCTTACCAGTGCAGCTTCAGGATAAGCTTTGACATTTTTGTGTGCTGGTCTGGTACTGTAAGCGCGGTTGCCTCTCGAGTTCAGTTGAACCAAGAATCCTGTTGTGCATTTGGAAGGCCTAGGAGCAACTGAAGCAACGTGTCAATTAGGTGTCCGCGTGAAGTCGCGGCTCGTGCACTTGGCCTAGGCAAGTGTGGTTTGAGTCGACTAAAAGTCGTTTTGTCATATAAGCAAAACCTGCGCGGAGCATTTAGGAGCCGTTGTCGCAAGTACTTCGTGGGAAGAGAATCGTGCTAAGGCGGTTCCGGCAAATCATCTCGGTTCTGTTTTTATTCACTGAGTTCGAGCGAGCAGTTGGAAGGAAGAGGCCGCACGCGTGCATGCGTGTGACTCGCTGCTGCTGCTGCTGCTGCTGCAGCAATTGTTGCCTTGCTACGTTGACGACACAAGCATCACCTTCCCTCCCACGCTCTCACGCAGCACCACCCTATTCCGGAACCCATTCTCACGCGAACCTTCCGACTCTCGCTCTTTTCAGAAGCCGTGTTTGTAGCAGTTGCAATCTATACTTCCCCTAGCATCTGAAGCGTCTGCATCTGAAGCGGCGTCTGCATCTGAAGCGGCGTCTGCATCTGTAGCGGCGTCTGCATCTGTAGCGGCGTCTGCATCTGTAGCGGCGTCTGCATCTGTAGCGGCGTCTGCATCTGTAGCGGCGTCTGCATCTGTAGCGGCGTCTGCATCTGTAGCCGTGGCTGTGATGGGGTGCGTGCTGGGCAAGCAAGTCAACAAAGTCAACCGAGTCAAGACAGCCCCCAAAGGCAGCAATTTCAAGACGGCGGGCAAGCAGCCACCTCAGGTGGACACGGGGCAACGGAAGAGCAACACACCAGTTTCAGGTGAGCGCGACAGCAGCGGCAGCTGCAGCAGCTGTGGCAGTGGCAACAGCAGCAATTCACATGTGGTCAGTCCAGTCAAACCAGTTCAACCGGTCAAGCCGGTCAAACTTCTCAAATCAGTCAAGAAAGTAAAATTTCAAACCTATCGGAACCAGGTAGAGAGTTGCTGCTGCTACGGTACGGTGTGCTGCCGTGCCCTCACCCGCCCTTCATCCCTCTACCTGGTTTGTCGTGTCTTCATCCCTCTATCTGGTTAGCCGAGTCCCCGACCCCTTGCATCCATTGCATGCCCCTAACATTCAAACACTGCTTCTCCTCCTCTTCATGTCTCCTCTTCTCTTCACTTCTCTTCTCTCCTCTCCTCGCCTCTCCTCTCCTCTCCTCTCGTCTCGTCTCGTCTCACCTATTCTCTTCTCTTCTCTTCTCTTCCCTTCCCTTCACTTATCTTCTTTTCTCTCCTCTTCTCTTCTCATTCCGTCTCGTCTCTTCTTTTTTCCTAACTCCTCCCCTCTTTCTCTCCTCTCCCTCTTCTCTCCTCTCCTCTCCTCTCCTCTCCTCTTCTCTTCCTTTTCTCTTCCATCCTCTCAACCCCCGCACCTTTTCCCCTCCCCCTCCCCGCCACCAACACCAACAGGAGGATCCACCGACTCCGTCTCATCAGTCTCCTCTCTTACCCCCACCGCTACCCCACCGCAACGTGCTTTTGAGGCGCCACTGAAGTCCTTTTCCCACCCCCGACCCCCCACTCTCCACCCCCCCTCCCCGCCACCACGACCACCAGTTGGATCCACCCACTCTGCGTCATCAGTCGCCTCTGTTGCTTCCACTGCCACCACGCCGCCGCAAGTGCAGAGGTGCCGCCGCTTCTCCCTGCAAGAGCTTGCACAGGCCACGGGCGGGTGGGCAGCACAGAGCTTGATAGGCACGGGGCGCAGCGGGGACACGTACAGAGGGGTGCAGCCGATGCCGCCCGGGGGAGATGGGGGGAACGTGGCTGATGGGGGCGTGGTGTGGGCTGTGAAACGTGCGAGAGTGGGGCGGGTTCGAGCAGATGATTTCCATAAAGAGGTGTGTCACGCTACCACCATGCAACCCACCATGCATCGTTGCGCGCCACATGGGGATGCATTCCGCCCGCATTACCAAGCAACGCCTGACATGCACTACCAAGCAACGCCTGATTATGCGATCCCTGCATTCACACTTGCCACCCCGTCCCAGCAAAGCAGCCAGCCGCAGTGCTCCTCTCCGCACTCCAACATGCTTACTTCTCATTTCCCTCCCTGTTTCCAATCGAGGTGAATTTCGAGCCGACTCAAAATGCGTCGTGTGAGATTGCGACGAGGTGACTTTTGAGTTGACTCAAGAGTCACTGTCTGCTCCAACATGCTTACTTCTCATTCCCCTAAATATCTCCAATCTCTCGTCTCTTTTCCCGACCCGACGTCTCTCGACCTTTTCCCGACCACATTCACCCCTTTTCCCCCGCCTCCTCCTATTCCAACCTCTTTGTCTCTCTCAAAACTCCTCCATCTCTCTTCCCGCGCCTTTTTCCCCTCTCTCAGGTGAAGCAGATTGGTTCAAAGCACCACGTGCATCTGGTGCGGCTGGTGGGTTTCTGTGCGGAGGAGGACGCAGTGACACGGACGAGGGAGCATGTTCTGGTCTATGAGTTCATGCCCAATGGCAACCTCTCTCGCTGGATAGGCCCATGTGAGACGCATGTGCGTGTGGGGGTGTGTGTGCGTGTGTTTATGTGGGTGCGTGTGTGTGTGTATGCATGTGTGTGTGTATGTGTGTGTGTGTGTGTGCGTGTGTGTGAGTGTGTGCTTGGTTGTGGGTGTGTGAGTGCGTGCGTGGGTGCGTAGGTGTGTGCATGTGTGTGCGTGCGTACGTGTGCACACGCAGCTGTTTGTGTGTGTGTGTGGGGGTTCCCAATGCAAGTATTGCCACGTGTTCCACTTTGCCAGCACTTGCTTGCTCTCCGTAAAGCTCAGAAAAGAAACAACCACGTAACAACCGAATCTTAGTCACGTTTCCGCGGAACCATGCTTGCTGCTCCCACCTCCCCCCTCCCCCCCCCACGAGTACCAGGTGCTGCCATGAGGGCACCTGGTACGGCAGCAGCTGGAGCGTGTAGCCCTTTCCATCAGAATGGCGCAGGCTTTTCATCCAGTACCTGCCCTGCCCTGCCCTGCCCTGCCCTTCCTGCACATGCTCCCGCGCTTGCATCCCCCCTCCGTGCATGCACACGCCCGCTGCGATTTATGTGCTCAAACGCTTGCATTCCTGCCGCATCCTCCCGCATGCTCACCCCTTCCCCCACCACCCAGGTGCGGCGGTGCAGCTGACTCTACAGCAGCGCATGGACGTGCTGATTGGCGTGACACAGGCGGTGCAGTACCTGTGTTGTGTTGCCCATGCTCAACCATTTCCCCACACACTCTCTCCCACTTGTCCACCCCTTCCCTTCCCCCTCCACGCCCAGGTGCGGCGGTGCAGCTGACTCTCCAACAGCGCATGGACGTGCTCATAGGCGTGACACAGGCGGTGCGGTGCAGTACCTACACGCCTTCTCCCTCGTGCACGCTCGCTCACATCCACCCCGCCAACGTGCTGCTGGACAAGACCATGCGCGCCAAGCTCACCGACCTGCAAGCCCTCCCCTTGCACCCAACCCCCCTCCGTGCTCATGCCCACTCAATTCCGCTTGCTCCCAACCCAAATGCTCTGGCATGCCCCGACTCTCAGGTGCGGCGGTGCAGCTGACTCTGCAGCAGCGAATCGACGTGCTCATCGGAATAACACAGGCGGTGCAGTACCTACATGCCTTCTCCCTCGAGCACGCTCACATCCACCCTGCCAACGTGCTCCTTGACAAGACCATGCGCGCCAAGCTCTCTGATTTTGGCCTCAACCGAGACGCATTCACCAGCACGGGCAAAGGCACACGGGACGACAGGACAAGGGATGATGGAACAAGGGATGGCACCGAGAATGGCGCCAGGGCTGGTGTGAGGGATGGCATGAGAGGAACTGGCGCAGGGGGTCAGGCGGGGAGGCAAGGCGCGGAGAGGAGAGACGTCCGGGGGGCTGCGAAGGTGGAGGAGAGAGGGCGTGGGGTTCAAGACAGGCGGGGTAGCAATAAAGTCAGCAATGCCGGTGCTAGTGGTACTGCTGGTGCTGGTGGTGATGCTGGTGGTGCTGGTGATGGTGTTGGTGTTGGTGTGTGCACTGCAGGAGGGGACGCATCAGGGTACATGGATCCCGAGTTTCTTCACACGCACTGGCTGTCGCCTGCCGTTGACGTATACAGCGTTGGCGTGCTCGCCCTCATGCTGCTCACAGCACGCACTGCCACCGCCGCCGCGCATCAACACGGGGACAGCGACAAAGGCATTGACGGAACTGGGGACAGGCATATAGACAGACACGTGGATGGGCATGTGGATGGACAGTCAGACAGACGCACGGGCCAACACACAGACGAAAGAGCCACTCTCATACAGTGGGTCTCCTCCCTCCTCCCCGCTCAAAACCCTGCAACTTTTACAGACCCCTACCTCTTATCCCCCTCCTCCTCCTCCCCACCTCCCAACCCCCGCTCGCTCATCCGCCTAGCAACCCTCGCGCTCTCCTGCACGGTCCTCCCTTCAACCTCGCGCCCATCCGTGAGCAAGCTTCTTTACGAGCTGACAGAGATTCGAGACGAGCTGTTTGGAGCGGCGAGGAGTGAGGCGCTAGAGCGAGTGGACAGGGAGGTTGCAGATATGAAAGGGGGGGACTTTCTGGCCGAGATGGCCCGAGCGGAGTCCCTGGCGTCGGGAGCGAGCGTGAGCGGAGGCGTGAGCGGGGTTGTGAGTGGAGGCACAGGGGTTTCGTGGGCCGTGACGAGTGTTAGTGGCGGGGCGGGGGTGAGCGGGGCGGTGAGTGGGGGGTGGAGTGGAGCGGTGAGTGGGGGGGTGAGTGGAGTGGTGAGTGGGGGGGTGAGTGGAGCGGTGAGTGGGGGGGTGAGTGGGGGGTTGAATGGGGTGAGTCGGGGTGAGAGGTACGAATGGGAAGCAGGAGGTGGTGTGCGGTGAAGCGAGAGAGAGAGAGGTTGGAGCAGCAAGGAGTGAGGCATTAGAGCGTCTCGATTGGGAGGAAATCCCTGGCGTCGAGAGCAAGCGTGAGCGGAGGGGTGAGCGGAGGGGTGAGCGGAGGGGTGAGTGGAGGGGTGAGTGGAGGGGTGAGTGGAGGGGTGAGTGGAGGGGTGAGTGGAGGGGTGAGTGGAGGGGTGAGTGGAGGGGTGAGTGGAGGCACGAGGGCTTCGTGGGCTATGACGAGTGTTAGTGGCGGGGCGGGGGTGAGTGGTGCGGTGAGTGGGGGGTGGAGTGGAGGGGTCAGCAGTGGTGTGAGTGGGGTCAGCAGCGGTGTGAGTGGGGTCAGCAGCGGTATGAGTGGGGTCAGTGGCGGTGTGAGTGGGGTCAGCAGCGGTGTGAGTGGGGTCAGCAGCGGTGTGAGTGGGGTCAGTGGCGGTGTGAGTGGGGTCAGTGGCGGTGTGAGTGGGATCAGAAGCGGTGTGAGTGGGGTCAGTGGCGGTGTGAGTCAAGGGGGGGGAGGTCGCTTGTGAAATGGGAGTGCTTCAGGAGGGTGAGTGGTGCGAGTGGGCAGCAGGAGGTGGTGTGATGTCATGTGGAGGGAAAGATTAGAGTGGCCTCGGCAGGATAGGTGGCAGTGTGTAGTGTAGATTGGGGAAGTAGTTGATGCCTCGTTGAAGATGTGGTGGTGTTTGGTGGGCTGGGTGGAAGAGGATGGGATGGAAGAGGATAGTTGGAAAGACATGAGAAGAGGATAATCGGAGGGGGGTGGAGGGAGATGGAAGGGGATGGATGGGGTGGGGTGGAGGGAGATGGAAGGGGATGGATGGAGGGGGATGGAGGGGGTATTAGAATGGACTAAGATACTAGCGGAAGCTTTAGTAGTCTTAGAACCTCCTCCTAAAGCCTAGGAATCATAGGAGCCCACTAGGGCATGAACCATGCTAGAACCAAAGTGGTTTCCAAAAGTGAAAATACCAACAAGAGAGAACCCTAACCTATAGGGTTTGGGAGGTGGTCCACTCTAAAGAGTGTACACCACAAGTTCTCCCAACCCAACCAATGTATTCTACGCTACCATAGTGTAGATGTACCACTACATATGTTTATTGGAGCAACCCGAATTAACCTTAATTCCAACAGGGGGGTGGCATTGTTCAGCTGGGGAACAAGGCTCCTATCAGGTGCATCTTGTGGCACCCACGGGTGCTATTGGAGCGAATATTATATATGTGTATGCATAGTCGGTTAATGTTCCATTGTACTGCTTTTACGCGGCTCTAATGTGGTATCACACCACTGGTGTGGTGTACCCCCGAAGCTGCTGTATGACTGAAATTGCAATGCGGACGCACATCAAGATTCTCTGCAAATGATATACGGCTTGAACCACCAAGCTTTGAAATGTGGCTCAAGGGACTCCACTTGTGTGATTGACTCCCAGTTAAAACCGAAATATAAAATAGAGAAGGCGGATCCAACTTGAAATCGTGCTCGGAAGAAGCAAAAGTGGAACGACGCTGGGCTGTGTAAAACACTGTTCCGGGCATCGCCCTTCCACAGACTGAACACACGTGATTCGTTCCCGCCAATAAAAAATTCAGAGCGTGCTCGCGCGTTCGCATTTTCTGCATGCGACATATGTACGACAGTTGTTTGTCGTGCGTTTTGATGGTTGGACCCAACTTCAACTTTCTGTCAGAATGTTTTATTATCTAGCATGCAGTGGGGTGCTCTATAGCGAGTACAACCCAGTTAGGGTTTGCCATTTGTATCCAACTGCTTGCTAGTGAACCTCCTCCTTTCTTCATTCTTACTTTCTACTGCTGATTTTGACATGCTATCAGAGCAGGTCGACCCTCCTGGGTCGATCCTGTGGGTGGGCCCACCACCTCACTGCTTCCGCTGCTACTGCTACTCCCTGTCCGCCGCGCGCCCCGTGGTGCGCGGCGTCGAAATTAGGGTTTTCAGCCCGCCGCGCGCCCCGTGGTGCGCGGCGTCGAAATTAGGGTTTTCTGCCCGCCGTGCGCCCCGAGGCGCGCGGCGGGTTTCTGCCCCGTCACGCCGCGCGTCGCTCCTGGGAGGCGCTGCGACGGGCGACGGGGACCCGCGCGTCGCCCCCCGTCGCCCGTCGTGGCCTGCGCACGGCCCGTACGGCCTGCGCGCGCCCGTACGGGCTGCGCCAGGCCCGCGCGCGGCTCGAGCCGCCTTCGCGCGGTTCGGGAGGCTGTGCCAGGCCCGTGGGCGGCCCGTTCCTCGCTGTCCCTGCCCTCCCCGCTGTCCCCCGTGCTTCTGATGGCGCCCCACCCCTCCTCCTGCCCGTTCTCCTGAATTAGGGTTTGGGGGTGGGGAGTATGGGGGTGCAGCTTCTGTGTGCTGTTCCCTACTCCTCCTCCTCCGTCTCCCTGTGCTGCAGCTGCCACTGAAGAGGGGTGGACCTGTTGGAGCCGTCGGAGTGGTACTAAGGGGGGGTGAAGGGGGAGTGGAGCAAGGAGTTAAGCAGGGGGTGTGTGTCAGGGGGGGTGGGACTGTTTGGGGAGGCTGAGAGGAGGCTGCCGTCTTGTCGTCCGCAACACCTGTAGTCCGGGGCGCTGTCCTGGTAGCCCAGAGAGCCTGCTGCGCCTGTCGCCCGTGGGTCCGTTGCTCCTGTAGCTCCTCGTAGCCCGTGAGCCAGTTACTCCAGTAGTCCGGGGCGCTGTCTCGGTAGCCACTGTGCCAGCAGCCCCTGTTGCCCGTGTGTCTGCAACTTCAGCCGTCGTCTCCCATCTTCTATCCTCGCACAGTCCCTCCTCCTCCTCACTTGCCCGCTGTGATTACCTCTAGCTTTGCTTATTATTTGTGAACTCTGTGAACTGCTACTTGCTATGCTGATTACACCCCACTTTGGCTATGGGGGTGTGTCAGAATGTTATATTATCTAGCCTGCAGTGGGGTGCTCTATAGCGAGTACAACCCAGTTAGGGTTTGCTATTTGTATCCAACTGCTTGCTAGTGAACCTCCTCCTTTCTTCATTCTTACTTTCTACTGCTGATTTTGACACTTTCAAGCTGGGCCTGGGTTCCACATATGCTTACTTCAACTCCGTTCACGTAGCTTGCCTAACTCACGGAGCTTGCCTAGCATAGAATAGCCATAGACGAGGGATTAGGCTGATGCGGCATAGAAATGAAATGATCATTAGATTGTGTGTGATACTATGTCGCCGCTGATGCGTAGTGATATTTTCCTCGCGATCACAGATGTTGGGCTGAGAAAAGCCCTTAGGATCTTTGCAGGACTAAACTCTGAGTAGAACAATGTAATAGCGGAAGCGTTTAATGAGAAGTTTGTGAACCACCTTTCGCTGGTATGTGAGGGCAAAGTAGATTGATTAAAACACAGGGATACAAGTTTTTATAAGAATACAAGGGAATATGAAGGGTTATAACTAATAACTGTTTTGCTGTTGCTGTTGCGGTTCGATACAGTGACGACCAGGCCCCAAAATGTCAGGGTAAAATACCTTGATTGCCCTGACTGGCGGCCGCTTTTTTTGGGGTTACCCTGACCCAGTCAACCTCCCGGATTTCTTACCCTGACTCATAAAGAGTTTGATTTTTTGTACCCTTATGAAATCCGAGCTATAGATTGTTTCCCCTGACTTTCATCAGTGTTCTGAACCTGCTACACTGATACCGAGTCTTTCGTAGCGAGGATACGGTGGATGTTGCGCAAAACGGCGCCAGCGAATATTGCATTAGGTAAAATTCCCGTTATGAGCATCGATATCAGGTCCTTTCCGATCGCAGCATTACCTCCAACCCTGTGAAACACTTCAGCTCTCAACTGTCCAGTGTTTTAATAATTTATTGGCAATATAATCAGGATAAGTTTTCTTTTACCCTGTTTCTATCAGGGTACGAGATTGTTTACCCTAGGAGTCAGGGTTGGCCCACCCTGGAACTCTGATTTGACAGGGTGGGCCAAAACCAATTTTGGGCCCTGGTGAGGACTCGGGCAACTGCTCAATAGCGAGTCAGTTGTTTGTCCTTGCTGTCGCGCTATACTTGTCAGGTCAAAGGTCGCTGACCTTTGACTTTCGCGTAACCTCCAGCAGTTGTTCAACCTCCGAGGTTTGACTCGCTGATGCTTCGATATGTTTCACTTCGCTTCTGACTTGGTGTTTCGACACGACAGAGGCGCTTAAGTTACTTGTTTCCAACAACAGAGAACCCCATTCCCGTCGCCATTCCTCTCACCCCTCTCGTGGCCCACTACGCTATCCTCGAGTTCGCCAAATCTGTGAAGATAGCGAGTAGAAATTTTAGGAGAAGAAAGAGTGGTTGCACTAGCAAGCAGTTGAGTACATATAGGAAACCATAAATTGGGTTGTACTCGCTATGGAGTACCCCACTGCAGGCTAGACAAATACAACATTCTGACACACCCCCAAAGCCAAGGTGGGGTGTTATCAGCACACAATAAGCAGGAGTTTATAGTTCACAAATATAAGCAAAGCTAGAGGCTATTACAGAGGGCAAGTGAGGAGGGGGAGAGGCTGTAGGGGAGAGAAGATGGTGGGCGGCAGCTGAAGCTGCTGGCACACGGCGCAACTGGAGCAACTGGCACACGAGCAACTGGAGCAACTGGCACACTGGCAACTGGAGCAACTGGCACACGTGCAACTGGAGTAACGGGCTCCGCGGCTAGACGAGCGGTAGGAGCAACTGACCCACTGGCGACTGGAGCAACGGGCTCACGGGCGACTGGAGCGACGGGCTCACGGGCGACTGGTGCAACGGTCTCACGGGCGACTGGAGCTGCTGGCTTCACGGCAGCCACCCCCTTCAACTTCCCCTAACAGTCCCACACCCCCTTCTCACACACCCCTTGCTGCACCCCTTGCTTCACTCCCACGACACCCCCCTTAAACCCTAAACCCTAGGCTCCCACACACCCACCCCTCTCAGCGGCAGCTGCAGCAGCAGGAGACTAGGGAGGAGGAGGAGCAAGGGGAGTAACGCACAACCGACACCCCCACAACCGCCACCCCCACACTCCTCACCCCCAAACCCTAAAACGGTTGGGATAGGAGCAGGAGCGCGGGGGACGGCGAGGGGGGGACGGCTCGTGACCCCCAGGGCGCCAAAACGGACGGGCGGGACGGGGGGAGGGGGGTGGCGCACGCGGCTTCCCAGGGCGCCGCGACGAACGGGCGGGGGCCGCGCGTGCTCCCCAGGGCGCCGCGACGAGCAGGGTGGGGGGCCGCGCGTGCTCCCCAGGGCGCCGCGACGGACGGGCAGGGCGCTCGCGGGCTCCCCAGGGCGCCGCGACGAACGGGCGGGGCGCGTGCGGGCTCCCCAGGGCAGGAAACCGCCGCGCGCCCCGAGCGCACGGCGGACAGAAAACCCTAAAAAAAATTCGCAGCCAGAAGGCATCGCACGCCACGGGGCGTGCAACAGATAGAGTAGCAGCGGAAGCAGTTAGGTGGGCCCACAGGCCAAGGAAAGACAGGCTCTGATAGCATATGAAGATAGCGAGTAGAAAGTTTAG